CTAAACACATAATTTGTAGGTGAAGGAACCTGATTTATGTTTTCATAGAAAAATATTTTCTAATTCTCATCTAAGTCAACACATTCATATAAACTGCAAACCTCTAACCATATCCTACTCCATGCAGTGATATTAGTCAATATACAACCCACCACAGAAGCAATTTCTGAGAACAAGGCAACGGAGAGAAGTTTTTAATTTTATTTAGCTCTTTAAACTCTACCCAGTACTGAATGTTTGCTATTTTATGTAGTTATCCTTAAAGTATTGTGGTAGACTTATCTTTGTAACTTCAAGTTGTGAAGAATTTTAAGAAGTAACTTTACTTGTAATAAAAGTAATTTTGTTGGCTAATCTAAAATATTTTATCAAATATATTTGATATAATAAGCAATGTCTAGAAAAAATATTGTTTACATTCATGGTATACAGTTATTTCTTTGCCTTAGTGGTTTACAAATATCGGAGCCCATGTGACATTTTAGTTATCTACGACATTACTTTGGAGCAGTTTTAACAGTTTGTTAAACTGATTGACATCTACTAAACAGTGCTCAGCAGGCGCATGAAAGGCAGATTGCAAAGAAAAGGGCTAATACACAGTTAGATCTAGTGCTGTAGTCATTGTAAACCTCTGAAAGCAACTGTCTTTTTTTCATATGTGACTTCGCAAAGATGTAACTGTATTCATCTGGTACTGTGACTGATTTCATGCAGCTCCACAATGCCATGATTCTATCACTTTGCAAAAATGTAACACCAATAATCTTCTCCAAAACATAAATGTACCAGTTGAGTATGTGCAATTTGACAAGATTGTTGGGTGATTTTGTTTTTCTGCACTTTATGTTTACATTTGCAACTTTCAGAAACATCCAACTAAAACTGATAAATTGTTCTTGAGTATGAGGGTTGAAACACTCCTTAGTTACATGTATTTCCATAGGACAATTAGATCTTCTTTACTGATCAATATGGAAACTCCAGATAGGGACAAATAGATATCCATATGATTTGCAGCATAGAGCACTAGCCATAGGTGTCACAGTAAGCCCAAATCACCAAACAAACTTAGACAGTCATGAACACCAGCAGTTGGTATGAATTATTGCAAACAGGTAAGCAAACAAAAAATTTGTAGTTTATCATATAAATGTAAGGGATTAAACATTTTGTTATGATGTCTACAATTAAAAGACACAGGATAAATTGTGTCAATGCCAGGGCAAAATGTTTCACATTTTTTATCAGAAGCAAAAAGTGTTTTAAAAATTCCCGTAAAGTCTTATTTACCAGTAATACCATAGAAATATACAGCAGTTCCATAGTATTCAAAAGTATATTTGTCTTTTGACAATCCAAAATACCATTTATTGATATGAGTTTATAAGAACCTTGCTACTGTCATGGTGCAGGATGTAAAAAGGTAAATGAACATGAAACTGATATGACACATAATACACACAGCACAACACAAAAGAAAAGACGTTGAATGGCCTTTGCCCAGCAGAGGTAGATAAAGGTTATAACAAACTGTTTACTGACCATACATACAGGTACTTAAACAGTAGATCAGTTGAACAAGAGCTCAGCCGTTAAGTGCTTTTTATACATTGCTCCCCCTCTGCTCTATTCTAAAGAACTAGTTTACCACCCAGTTATTGCTCCACTATATTTAAATATTCTACCTACCTAAAATCTACATTCTACCATTATTTAAGGCTTTTTTTAAATTATTCATTCTATTAGTCTTATTTTTGCAATGTGTAAATAAAATTACAATGTATCCTAACACCAAGAAAAAGCACCATGTATTCTCAAACATAAAGCTGTTATTGAAAATAAAACAAAATTGCACTGGACAACATTATATATAAATATACATCTTTTTCTGGTGCATTTTCTTACTATTGCGCTATTATGTGCAAATGCTTTGATTTGTTTTATTTTATTATTAGCGCATTTTTATGACTAAAATCAGGAGAAGAATTAAAATGATGAATGCATAGTATTGGTCCTTTCTACATAATCTCAGGTAGTAGATGAGGCAGAGACTAAAAGAAAAGACTATCTCTTAAGAAGGGGGTGCCTGTAAGCAAAGAAGCGGTGTTTGCTTTAAAGTATTTTCCTTCATATCCCTGCTACACAGCAAACATTTTTGAAGTGCACTTCCCAAGTGTAGAAAGAGAATAGGAAGGAAACTGAGTTTATTTATTGTAACAGCCCTTATAAATCTTCCTTCCTTTAATATTACTGGAAACAATAAACAACCAAACAAAAACATTTCTAACATGGTAGCAATACTAATAAATATGTAAATTAAATGATTTACTAGTCTGGAACAAGAAAATAAAAAATAAAAAAACTACACAATGTTCTTTCTAAAAGAATGCACTGAGCTTTTCAGGTTACAATGAAAATCAACATTTACAGAAACATACAGATGGGTTAGTCGCCAGTGTTCAACAAAATACCAGATCACTAGCATTGGCAGGGCATGGCAAGATACTCACACATTAGCATTTATAAAGCGCTGGGGGAATTGGATTTATTTTATTTATTTGTTTATTTTTTGCACATAAACCATGTCTGGCCAAAAATTAGACACACACAAAGTATTCCAACGTTGTATGCCTAAAATACATTAAATTAGAAGGGCTCTATTACTTTATAAATGGCTTGGTACACTTGCTAAAGGTGTCCGTCTGGTTTTCTGGTTAACTACTAGGTCAGATTTGCCAGGAATAATGTTTGTTTATTTACTTAATGTTTTTTTATTAACTCAAAATTCAAATGTATAGGTCCCCCTGCCAGCACTGCTAAACTCTGTACACTAATGAGGAAAGCTTACTAAAAGATCTTCAGGCTTACAGATGCCTGGTTCCCTGTCATGCTCTGTGGTATCTTCCACTGACCTCTACATTACTATTGAATACTGTACTGACAAAAGGTTTGGCATCCATAGAGTGCAGCGAGGTACTCTTCCATTTGATACTCCAGCAAGTGTCAAATGTAGAAGATCTTTCAGCAAGCTCCCCTGTTCAGTGCGGTGGGGTTTGGCAGTACAGTCACTGAGAAAGGTAAGTATAAATTATTTGTTTTGCCGGGAACTGCCAGTTTCAGGTTTTAAACAGGTTTAAGGGTCACTTTAAATGAAACCCGAAATAAGAAAAATTATATTGACTTCCACTGCTGAATTCCTATTGAAAATGCTAGTGTCTTGGCTACCTCTGGAACATGTATGCAGCCAGTGTGGTCAAGGCAAAGTCAGAACTCCTGATCTGCATATTTTTCTGGGTTATTGATTCTATGGGGTTGATTTACTAACCTTATAAACACACCACGAACATGTATACACCTCTTTAGTGTGTTCCCTCCCAGCATAATCTATGGGTGGAATCTAAACACCTTTGTAGTGTGTACACACCCAGCAGGTGTGTTGTGCAAAGCCCTGCCCTGAATTGCAAGGTGATGTTGTGTAAATTAGCTCTACATTGTGTTGCTTGCGTTGATGAATGCAGGAATGTAAATGCATGAGCTAACCATTTTTGTCTAAACTGTGAAGCAGCATTATATATGCATCATGTGCATGATTTTTCCATATATGGCATTAGTGGAAACATGCTTATAGAGACTTTTTGGTTGATAAATACGCTTTGCTGTGTAAAAATCACGCGCACCTGGTGCGTGCGTGTGTTTAGGTTAGTAAATCACCCCCTATGTATTAAAGCCATTGGTTCAACATGAAAACCAGACAAGTTTTTTTTAGAAGATATAGTCAGTAGTGGCAGGTCCCATATTTCTTTCAGAACAGGTTCCCTTTAAAGAGGGGAGGCAAAAAAAAAGTTAAATCAACAAACACACAAATCAGTCGATCAATCAAATAAGGAGCCAGGGCTAATTGGAACTTAGTTTTAAACTGTTTTTTGTTGAACACATTAAGCTTAAGCTTAGCATTGTTCTAATAATTTAATTGTAATTTAAATAAGCCTCAAGGTTTCCCCTGGTCCTGATTGCGAGACTTCCCATCTTGATATGTTTTGATTATATATACATTGAACTACTAAATATTTGATTGATAAAAAAAAAACTGCAACTACAGCAGAAAAAAAATAATAATTCACAACGAATGCCAAAAGTTTACCTCCAATGTGAAGGCCTTCAACTATATTACTCACTGAGCTTAACTGGTTCAACATACTGAATCAAAAGGCTGCTCCTGTTCAACTGACCAGCAAAGAGACTGGACATTTTATTTTTCTCAGATGGGACCTGGAACAACACAGTTTGTTATAGGTTCACGTAAAAATTATATAATTGCCCAACTCTTTAAGGAGAGCATTAGTCTCACTGTTTTCATCATCATCCAGCCCTAAGACACGTAGTTTTCTCAGTCAGTTGGCTGATCCTACAATGATAAAGACAACCTACTATAGGTGTATCCATTGCTTACAATTAAACAGTTGAAACTAAGCTGTTTATATTGTTGTTTTTGTGGGGTTTTTCTTTTTTTGCTTTAAAGAGATGGGTATAACAATGTAACAGATGGGCATAATGGATATTGGTGCTGTTATTGTTTGCTATGTTTGCATTCATAGCACTGCCATTAGAGTAGAAACTGACAGGACATAAATGATGAGTACAATGACTAGAAATATATAGACAGTGAAAAGACTCAGTATAGCTTTGAGAAACCATCCCAAAAATAAAATCCTGTATTAACAAGTGCAAAATCAAACAAAAAAGAAAAATCCATACATTAAAACACAGTGTATAAAATGGTGTGAGAAATTTCAGTCACCATACAGCCTTTTAGTCAATAAAAAGCTGTCCCATGTTGTCCTTGAAGTTTGGAGTCTGGCCCATCTTGACTTATTATTCAGACTGACTTGTAAAAATGGGTTGTAAGGTACAAGCACCTCGTTTCTGTTACACGTGACTGTAGCATTTTGCTGGAGTGGGCCAGTGGCGTGTCTATCTAATTGAAAATTTCCATTATTCTATTCCTCATTTGTTGAACGGTCTTCCAAAATTCTTATGTTTTCAAAACCCAGTCCTGTTGAGTTTTGTGCTGCTGAGACTGCTAGTACGGTATGTAATAGTATCAGTACAAGAACACACAGTTTAAGTCTGCTGTTACACAGTCTGGATGCTGATGAAGCTGTGAGTGACGTCCTGTGACACAACGTTGAATCGTGTGATTTTTTAGTCCCTTTGGATTGGTTATCTGTTGATAATTCCCATCTGACATCACAGCATTCTGGTTCTGCATTGGTTGGATAGGTTTCATACAGCCCTGTAAAGCAAAACAACATTAATTAATAATAATAATAATAATGTTGTGTATTTACAAAAAAACACCTCCACCCCTAGGTTACCTATACAGGAGATGTACCTTTGTAAGTATACCTTTCTAACCTTGGAATTGGATATGGATAAACAATGCAGCAGATGGTCATTTTAACACAGCAGCAACAAAGCTGAACCATTACTGGGACATTTAGGTTTACTGAGGCATTGTGCTCGATGTTACTTTCCCTACCCCAAGCAACTGGAAGTACTCCACAGGCCCCAAAAATGCTTCATGAGAGCCACCATTAAAGGTGAATTCCAGGCAAAGTTAAAGAGATACACAGATTACACAGATGTAATACATATATGGGAGATGTCTTACCTGCCAAAGTGATGTCACTGAGGCAAAGTGAAATATTTACAGGAGTATTGGGAGGGTAAAATATACTCATCCCAATACTTTGAGCTGGCGTTTTACACTGCATCGGTCACACTCTGCCCCTCTGATCGCTCAGCTCACAGTCTTCTCCATGCAGAGAGCAGTAACTGTCAGTCACCCTCCCCGCAGGGATTCGCCCTCCCCTCTCTCTATTTCTATAGCGATCACTGGAGGGACAGACAGAGGAGGGGGTGGGTACAGCTGTCAATCCTAGAGAGAGAGAGACAGCTGTCAATCAGGAAGCGGGGTAGATACCGCCTGTAGTATGGCTCTGCACTGTCAGCATATAGTGGGCAGTAGCAAAAGTAGTAAATGTACTCCTGTAACCCAAAAGAGAACTAATAATAATTTACATGGCTCCTGTATTTAGACAAAATTTACGTGACTCATATTTCAGCTTTGCATCTCATAAAATCTTTAATATGTTAAAGTAATTTTCAATATTTTGAGATTTGCAGCTTTCGTTAAAATTACAAGTGACCACTTCAACAAACATTATGCATGCATGGTCCATTGTTGTCACCATCAAGAAACCCTACATTTCACAAAGGCCCCCAAGGGTCAAAACACATTATGCATATCAGACGCAGTATCTCTGCATAGACTTTACAATGCTTTTTTTGACTGATGATATAAACAAGTGGATTTTATTTTGACTACAGAAGTGCTTATCTTTTGCATGAGAAAACCTGCCCCAAGAATTACCCTGCTGCCACTGCTGAAGTGCATGCAAGCAGACATGAAGTGGTTGGAAGAGGCTGAGACTGAGCTTCAACAAAGGATGAAAAAATGCAAAAAGGTATTTATTTATTTTTTAAAGTTGTTTTTGATACTCGGTGCTCTGGCAATAAAAATGTCATCAAGTTAGGGTTTCCTACGATGATCATACACAACAATTTTGTAGTGTCTTCTTTTCAAAGTGTGCCGTTGTGACGTGTGGGGCTTCTGGAGTGTCCCTGTGCATTTAAGGAGAAATGGGCTGCCTCCTGTTGAACCTGCACCCAATTTACCCTTTGATAGATATGCTCTAAGATGGAGGCTCTCATAGATTAGGAGTTAGGACCACACTACAAAGAGGAGCCTTCACGAGGCAGTGTGGCTTCCACATATTTTGCAAAAGGTGTGCAACTAAAACCTCTGTTTTTAACCCTAAAATTTAGACAGGCACATTTTTGTTTTTTTTTGCAGGTTAGCTGGTAAGTGTGCTGGGAAATTATTGCTTTTGTTTTCAAAGTGTGATGCCAGGATTTGGATAAAACATATACGAATACACCACGAATCACAGATACTGAAATATACAGTATGTGGCATATTAATACAGCACCCCATATACTTGCCCTTAGAGTTTTTGTTACTTGGTTAATTATTTGGTGCATAGTATTTTGGCACTACAATTATTGTTGTTATTATCATCATCATACTAAAGTGTAAATTTGTTTTGGCACATGCAGTTATAAAACAAAATTATCAATGGCTATTGTAACAGTTACATTAGACTTTGTTATTAAGGGCACATTTTCAAAGTAAATTATCCATGTGTTATAAAGAAGAGTAAAAAGTAAAACATTATATTTCTGTTTTATATATTTTAATCAGGTAAATATTGCATATTCATTAATAGGGTCACACACCCCTTTGCATCTGTAGAGATGGATCTATCTCTGGGAGCTGTTAGCAATTAGGAAGCCCCAATAAAGATTTTAAAGCTTTTATGCATATAAAAAAATAATGCTGCAACATAATACTTTATAAACTTAAAAATAAAAAAACAATCAAATTGAGTCTTAGCTTAAAATGAATATACTTTTGTCTAAACTAAGTCTAAACTATTTGGCTGCTGAGTCCCTTTGTGGAGATCTTTCTTCAATTCCTGTCTTAAAACACAACACGGAGTGAGGGTAGATCTCTCCAAATTAAGGGCTAGCCTCTCTTAGATAGTTATCCCTGGTAAAAGTGCCCATATTAGAAGATTTCCCATCTGTTTTATTTCTGTTCCAGGGACAACTCTAAATATAGATTTTTTTTCTCACTTTCAGTTCCAGTGACAACCGTCATCAGGACAAATAGAGAGTAAAGTTCCACAGCAGCAACACAGACAATTAACACTTAACAGGAGTTCTAACCTTTCCTTACGTTATCCAAAATGAAGAAATGGCTTAAGATACAATTTAAGGTGAACTACTATAGCATCTGTATAGGTGATGACAATTCACTAATACCATTTTCTGCAGATGAAGCTTCAAATGCTAAAACTAAATCACACCTAATTCTACTTTGCTAAAAACAAGAGCATACATCTTCTTAAAGCCAATCTACAGACAGAATGAAAAGGTGGCCACTGCTACCTATAAGAACTTAAATTATATGCTACTAAATAACATGTTACAGAGCAATGATTCTAACTGTAGCATACATTTTATGCTTGCAAATCTAATTATATGCAAAATGTGATTTATCTAGTGCTGCTTATCATTACTCGGCCACAAGGTGGTGCTACATGCATACCTAGTTTGATTTTGGAATAAAAGAGTGAAATGTTTAAAATGGGAAAACTAGATATGTTATGCCAATTAATGCAAATGTATCTGTACTGATTATGCACAAATAACTATATTTTGGGTTATTATTGTTACTTTTGAAAACAAAAAGTAAAACTGTAAATAGTGAGAATGTCAATCAAGCAGCAAAAAAAAACACAGTTAAAATATACATTTTGGAGCATTTTTTTGTGATTTTACGCAGCCGGTTTCTGTCATGCAGATTCCAAAGGAAGCACAGCCAGATCCTAAAATTCTACTCCAGCGGCTTTTCACCTGTCAGAGACACTGATCAAAACACTCCCTGATATTGCTGATTTGGCAATGAAGAAGCAGTAGTACATTGATGATGCCATCCCTCTGTTCACAATGTTCTCTCTTCTTACGAGTTTTTGGGCTTGTCAGCACACTGCACTATAGTTTCAAGTCTGACTGGTTTCAAGTGATTGCCCTCCATCTCTCAATCTGAGTGCTGCTGTACCTGTACTTGTACATTACATAAGCCCGAGTCAAGAAAAATTCAGATAATGACTTTAGTTGCATCGAAAAATATTTAATGAATATATTTTACATTTTTAATTAACAGATAACAGCATTAACTTTGTGCTTTTATATCTACACGGACTGGCAGATTGGCACAGATTGACTAGGGATGCATTGTTTTTGCCCTTACATTATAGTGCAGCTATATGTCAAAGTCATACACAAAAGTCAACACAACCACCTGCTATACAAAATTTTACCAATATCCTCACATGCAGGACATCACATGTTCAGCAAAGTTCTGGCAAGCTGCAATAGCACAAAATAGAAACAGGCACACTAAGGTGCCTAATTATATTTTTTTTCACACAAGATTCATACAACCTACATTAAGGATTCATGCATTTTTGTAATTTATAAGGCTTAGCCATTGAAAAGAGTATGGGGTCTATTCACAAAGCTGCCAAAGGATCTAGCCATAGCTTCGGCCGATCCTTCGGCTAGCTTCGGCCCCAGGACCCCTTCGGTTCAGTAGAACCTCAGGGCTGCTGTACAGGCTAATCACTATAGCCCGTACAGCTCCCGAAGTTGGCTGAGGGGCTCAGTCGAGCCGAAGGCACATGCTTCGGCTCGACTGAGCCCAGTCACTCCGGGAGTCTCCCGCTATTAGGTAGCGGCTCCCGGCCGGCCGGGAGAGAAACACTTTATCCCGGAAAGTTTTACTCTGCTCGACAGAGCAGAGTAAACCGTTCCCTGCTCTGTTGTCTTTTTTTTTTCTTCTGACATCGGAGCCGCCGACTGCCTTCAGAATAAAAAAAAAAAACAGCATAGGAATGCATAGCTAGATTCCTATTGGCTATTTCAATTTGCAATAGCCAATAGCAAACTAGCTATTGCACCCGCCCACTGCTGCTGTCAATCAGCAGACGGGACCTGAAGTTCTCCATCAGGGGAGTGAATAGCCGAACAGTGTTCGGCTCACTTCACTTTGGGTCGGTTATTCACTCGGTTGCCTACGGCAGCTTTGTGAATAGACCCCTATATGTTACCACTATCGCTGTACTGCAGGAAAGGTGGAAAGTAAACAGAGCCAAAACTCTTATTAGATAGGATTATTACTAGGGATGCACAGATACTTTTCGAGTACCAGTGCAGATACTTGGCATTATCATGGGAACTACCAGGGTTGCAGCGGTTGCAGCTGGGACCTGGCTCTGGCGCTCCACCACTGTCCTGAAATCATTAGTCTGTATTGTTTTAGAAAACCTGTCACATGACAATAAACAAAAATGTATCAGTACTCGTACTTGTAAGTACTTGGCAAGTACCAGTACTCGTACTCGCAAAACTGGTATCTGTGCATCCCATTATTTATATTTCTAAAAACAAAATCATACATTAAAACAGAGATGTACAAATCCCAGGAGCTCCGTGTGCTTCTTACAAATGACAGCTGCCTCCTAATTTTTGAATTTTTCTCTAGTGTAGTCTTGGAGCTCAAAAGTATCGGTACATGTACTCGTATATGTACCGAGTACTGTACTT